CCGACAACAATTCGTGCCCTCTGCCGGGACAATATAATATTCTTTTAAACAAACACTAATTCTATACTTTTGGCATTCTCACATTCTTTCACACGTATTCTATTTAATATATGTCATTCGCTTGTTATATTCAAATTCTTAGGTCTATTTTATCATTTCATTTTTGTCCGTCGAAGACAGCAGACTGGCTGTTGAAAGCTCACAATTTTATACAATTTTACCAGAGAACGTTTTTTAACTCTTTTATAGTGAATCCTGGTATCGGATCTTCAATATTTTTAAACTCAAACTGATTTTGTTTCCCTTGGCCCAATTAACCAACCCCGTTTATTTCAAACTCCATTGGTAGAACTGAAAAACAAGCAACATCACGTCGTCATGATCAGACCACGTTAGAACATAGCTTGTAAACTATATTTTGGCTGTTCATCACACTTTAATCTTGTGCGTTAATGAACTTCGTCCTCGAGTGTTCGTTTCCGACCCTTGGTCAATAGAAAAATACATTCCATCAGTATTTAGTGCTGACCCGGTTATTTCGAAGACCCTCCGCAATTAATTTCGAACTACTTTTCTTTACCCCTCAGAGAAATAGCGGGTTCCAACTGTAATACAAATTAAAACCGAAGATATAAGCAAGGTTAGGTACAGCTCAAATTTGCGTGACGTAGCGTGACGTACTCCTGTAAAACTACAAAAATTTCCTGAGATAATTTACGATTCCGGTCCTCGATTTAGGCCTGACGGAACAGATAGCTCTAGACCTGTAGTGAAGCCTTTAAGTTTAGGGAATCGATCCTGTGTCCGAGATTAAGAACGATCAGCTATTCAGCTCGAAGTCCGATATCCCGAATATGTAGGCTCGGACGGTTTTTATCACAATTTGATATACAAATTGATATCGATAATATCGATCGATATGCTCCAAAAATACTTCTTCTTAAATACTTAATTCAGTGTCCTGAATATTTCAAGACCTTTAGCTCTAGAGATTACATCCCAATATCGGCTTTTTTCGCGTAATTAAATTGCTGAAGTATAAGTCAGTTGATGTGTTCTTACATAACATCCATTGTTGTAGCAATGTTAGGTTCAAATTATGACTCTCGACACTGTAATGATTGAAAGCATACTTAAGTATAATTAAAATCGTTAACTGTAATATTTACCTCATTGTCTTTTCTCTTACGACTCTGTTTTCTCCGGTTAACAACTGTTTGGCCTGCCAGCAGAACCTCATTCATCTCGTCCGTGTTGTCGAGTTTCAGTTTACTGGTAGTTGTGAGATATTTGTTAATATATTCAGCTTTCGCTCTGACCTGTGTTTGTGTATCGTCATAAATAATTGACCTTACGCTGTGAAAATATTGTTGTTATGGTAAAAACGTCACGCAACCAGTAAAGTGACACCACGCAACTTGTGCCTTCACAGGCAGCCAAACTATATAGTACGAAATAGCGGGGCTTCGAAATATATATATATAACCGGATCATCTAGCTAAGAATATAAAAATAATAGTTTTATACATGAAGGAATGTTTTTTTGTATTGACCGGGAGTCGGATGAGAACATCTGAGGAGGAAGTTCATTACTGCCAAGATTAAAGTACAGTGACAAGCCCAACCTGATGTTCAGTAACGTGGTCTGACGTCGGGCCCGGGTGGGCACTATCATATAAAAAGAACGGAAAGGGATGCTTGTCGGAAATTTTGACAAGAGCCTCTAAGTGGTACCAAGTTCTTGTTTTCTGGGCCTGGCTTGAAATGTTGTTCACCCCTTTAATAGAGCCCATAGAGGTACCGATTCTAAAACAACACTTTATCTATCTCCTGTGATATTTTTTTCCGGGTCAATATTTAAAAGGTACTGCAAAAGTTCCCGCGGTGGACCGTTTGAGGCTGAATACCCTAAGAGGTACCAAACACGCATTTTCCACCTCTACAAGGTAGGACGAGCAACCGCGGTTATTTTTATATGGGAGTCCACCACAGACTTAAGAGACTTTCGGGTCCAGTCCTCAGATATACTCAGACTTGGACGAGGTTGCCTGGCCTGCATGAAACTCATTCCCCAGATCGCAGATGGGATACGGCCCGTCCGTTGTACGTTAGCCCCTGACTCCCTGATATATTCTGTCCGGGTCATTGATCCAACAATTTGCTGGTAGAAGCCAATTATTTACTCCCGAGTTGAGACTGCGACCTCCGCGATTCCATCTTCACAACTCTGAAAGCAACGAGGGTCTGGATGGGGTAAAAGATAGTCCAACGCTACGCTCTCGAGGTCCCTCTCTCCCGAGTATGTAGCGCTGCGTGACAGATAGAAGGCCTGAACTGGACGACAATGTAGTAGTACAACTTGAAAAAATACATGGAGAGAAACGAAATATCGTAAATTACTTGTTACCCCATTTCCGTATTTTCTCAATACTACGGTGGACGAATCAACGTCCCTGTTGGAGTTTGAGGTACATTGTACTATAATTCATTGTGAGGTTGGGTGTTTACTTGATTCAAACATTTAGTACAGTCCCTGATTCTCATCAAATGATCAAGAAGTGTTACACAGTAAGTATGTGAGCAACTGTGCTGTGGCGCACCAGTTGCCTGGTTCCTGTACGCTTTCTCCCAGGCCTTCACGGTCAATTGATTTCGGCGACGTATCCGAACGACAAGGAGTTTCGCCCCGGACCACTTGACCCAAAATGATTAACCGCGGCGAAACATCTAGGCCTAGGAGTTAGACAAGTACACCAGTTCACTTTATTTTGAGCTCACTCCCCATAATTGAAAAGTTTGGCATGCCGTATTCCAGTGTTTCACACCCTTTTTCTGACGAGTACCAAGTCCTACACGACTTGTTTTTAAAGTTTGTTGACCAGAGATGAGGTCCTTCATTTGACGTTCTTCGTTTAATAATTATTTTTTTGTTTGGTTCAAAGGGGTTTTAATCCTATGTCCACTAACATTCAGAAAAGAAACTAAAACATGTTACAGGTACAAGTACGAGGTCATCATTTGTAAACCCTTAATTTAACTTAAAACTGATTTTCTTTTTCGCCTTTAAAGCAATTTTAAGATGAACAAAGATGTTCAAAGTAATTAAGGCCAGTGCTTTGATGTCCCGTTGGTTTTGAATGTGTGGTTCCACAAACTAGGAAATGGGTTTTTGGAAAGTCCAAGGTGGAGGGGAAAGTATTAAACGGAACTGGAATAGTGTGACTCAAACCAAAGACCTTCTGTATCAGAAGTGTGGATATTTTCTGTAACTGACTGCTGTTGCCTGCCCATGCTCTGGCTAAAGCTATGTTTTTATTTGAGTGTAAACAATGGAAAAAAACGTGTGTTTTGTTTCACACAGGATAATATCCAAAAGCTTATCAAGAAGCCAAATAAATGGGCTAAATTGTCATAAAACACTTTTGTTATTTGAGAACACTTCCCTGCTATTTGTATTTTTTAAATATCTCTTATGTTCTCAAAAGCCTTCCATGTTTGATGATAGTATTAATACCTTTGGCTTCTTGACTTGTTAAATAAACTGTACTTGTATTAATGTCAAAGCTACAGTATGTAAAATTAAGAAGTATACTGCATGTACATGAAATCAAGAATTTTTGAAGCACAATTGTGATAAAAAAGTAAGGACTTTAATGCTACCAAGAGACTTTCAAGTTGCTAATATCTCACTAATACATTTCCAAAAAAATTCCTGATGGAAATTCATCTTGTTTTCTGGTTCCTAACATTTGCAGCCAAAACAATAGCCAAGATTCTGCAATCAAATGATTATTCATTATAATACACATCATTTGTGAGTAAAAACAGTCAATGTAGTTGCCTTACAAAGGCTTGGCCTCTCATCAGCTATGTCCAACATGAAGATAACACAAGTCTTTTCCAGCTACACAGTTCTTAAATTTGTATAGCTTTTGATGACTTTGCACATGCATTTCTCAAAGGGACTTCATGTGTTCACTGTACAAGCTGAAATAACTATGTTCCTTTCAAGCACCACTTTTCAACATCTAAATAGTTGACCTCTTCTCTGCGAAAAATCGTCGAAGAATAACTACTTGGCAGATTCCCACTGAAAGAATGAGGCAAGCCTCGCCAATTGACCACCATTGAATCCTTTCATTCAGGTATTCTGCCATATCACGCCCTTGAGACTCTCTTAAACGATGGTGAGTCTGGTAGTCTGACGCAATCTGAAAGAAACAAAGAAATGAAAACTGACGACAAACTGATTTGTAAATTATGGAACTACTAAATACACATCTATGCAGTATCAACTCTCACCAACATGTATAGCAACTGCTAACAGTACACCAGTTAATAATTCTGCAGTGCATGATTTCCCTTATTACTACCCAGGGCTGTCACTGAGCTTTTATGTAGAAAGCTGAGAGGAAAAAGTAGCTAGGCCACCGGGAAGTGTGCACTCAGCTCCCTAAGTATAGTGTATTCATGCCCCNCCCCCCCCAGAAAATTTTGAAATCTAGAGTCAGTAGACTTCCAAGCGTCACCCTCAGTGAGCAAAAGTTGAATCTACAATGTACAAAGTACTAAAATGAATATAATGATGTACACCTGGGGTTACGATACTACAAACTTACAGTGTATATTCTACAAACACAACCTACCTTAAGGTCTTCGTGTATAGTTACACAAGCTGTCTCCATCTGAGTAAGAGCAGTTTGGTGTGCTCCCAAATCTTTGGTTAGTGGCATTTCATCCCCGGCTTGGAAATCAAAGTAAACCACTTTGTGACTAAAGGTCGAAAATTCATTGCTGAAGCAGAACTTGTAGATTCCTTCACCTTGAGCTGTGAATGAGTGACTGTCGTACTGTTTCTTTTGGACATTGTAAATAGTTTTACCACTTTCATCATACAGAACTACATCCACATCATAGTTACCACCACTAATGACCTAAAAGGAAAACAGAATAACACCACGATTTAGAAAGTCCTCCTTGCATATATTTACATTTGCCTTAGTTTTGCACTACTATGCAAACTTGTGCCACTTTCTCATCCAGTCTGAAATAAAATCCAAACCAATTGTAAAGTTCTTGCTTACACATGTTTTCCCATGCCTTGTGCCAGCAACATGTATTTGATTGATTGGTTCATTGGATCATCTGCGCCCTTTGTGGTTAGCAAATGATTACTTCGGTTTGGGTTTTATGGTGTGCAATTGAAAGCTACTCTATGCCACTGATGTGACATCAACAAATGTCCTGGAATTTCCACCAAGCAAGTTCCTTTGAGGTTTATAATGAGGTACTGCAATGTATAAATCACCTGCTGGTATGGCCATGGGGTGGATGAGTCATAAACTTTTACAGAATTTTTTTTTTTGAGAGCAGAAATTGTGTGCAAGGGGTGAACAAGTTTTAACTAATCGAAAGTTAAGAAAAAGAACAATAAGCTTCTTTTCTTTCCTAGAATATCGCAGTAGCAAACACTGTTAATTAGGATTAAGTAAAATGCCTGACCAGTTGCTGATTGAAATTTCAAGAGAAAATAAAGCTAACTTAACAGATCGCACTAAAATATTAAATGCAAACGTTTAAACAACGAACGGATTAAAAGGCAAGGCGATGTATGCAAGCTTAACTATTATAAGGTACATGTAGTTGAAAGCCGGTACATGTGATCAAGCCATGTTTATTAAGATGCTACTGATTGGTTTGTGTAAAATCACCAAATCATTAACGCAAAATAAACAGCTTTAAGAAAATCGTAGTTTTAAAACCCAAAACGAACTGAACACTGACCTGAAATTCAAGCGTTCCTTTGGTATCTTTCTTGATATCTTCATAAAAACACTGTCTCGCGTTATCTTCCAACTCGAAAGTCAACTCCGTACATTCCACGGCGATCAAGGTTAACAATGCAACAACTAAACCAACTACAATGCCACTCCGCCAATTCATAGTGTACTACTTGAAGAATGATTCCTGATCAGATCGGCGGGAAAGCAAGTAATGAAGATCGTTTGTACGTCGGTTTTTTCCGACGTCAAATTTTTAATTCGAACAATATGGCTGACTATACGTGGCATTCGAGAGGCGACCGCAAACCCTTGTGGGATAGAATTGTTTGCAGCGTTACTTTCTTCTCAGCGGTTTGCCCATCTCACCCCTTCCCGACCCCTCCCCTGTACTAAATAATTACATTTGTGCGGAACTGGCACTAGTTCCTTTTTTTCGCGGGCAAATTCCCTTGAGAAATTGACTAATCAGTTTTCGATTGCCGTGAACCGCAAAGCCAGTTATTTCTTAGAGTTTTCTTGCTTTTCTGGAGGAAAATGCTTGGATCAGGGAGGAAACGGCCTTGTAGGTGACTAAGTAATGAGTGTTGGAATCAGCCAAGTGAATTTCGACGCTCAGGTAAGCCATCTGCTTGATGACAATTTGAACAAAATTGTAGTTTGAATCGATGAGTCGAGAGAAATGAACGGAGGAGCAACTGCATGGTTAATTCGCTTTCCTTGAGTTGTTGTTCTTTCTAGATGCAAAGTTTATCTAATTTTTATTCTACACTAGTGTTTCACCAGATTTTAATATTTGAGCTTTCGTGTGGTATAAAAACATGCCGACGTAATTTTGTTGACTCGCTCTAATTACGCTCGCTATAAACAAAACACAATGCAAAATTCTTTATTCGTCTTAACTTGATATGACAATCGTGTTTGGCGCAGAGCAAAGCCGTTTGCTAAAACTACGGTAGTAGAGGAAGATCTAAGCTCAGGTGTCTGTCAATTTCTCGAATGAGCATTACAGTGATTTGTCTCATTACTGAGCTCAAGTTTGTGACTACAAGAGACCCCGTGTTTGTGTGTTCACTATTGTCAATGTTTGCTGTTCACATCTGCCAAACATGCTAGCTTTTCTCATTTCAGTAAGACTGGGTTACGTCGGTATGGTACCTAATGATATTAAAAATTTATATAAAAACCAAGAAATCGAGCATAAGCTAATTACCGTCGGAAGTTTAAGCTTTCATGACATGTAATATATTTTACCTCGCAGCTTCTGATGCTCTGCCAACAAGCGCTGTATAAACTTCATTAACAGTGAAAAATGGCAGTGACAGATTTATAGATATTGGGATTGTATTGTTGCTGTGCTTCAATTGGGCCTCTGTATTTTAAATGTCTAAACCCCCTGGCTGATGCTCAAGAACATATTAAAATTATTGATTTGCAGTCAAATGCTGAATGCCCTCAGGACATCACAGATTTATTTAAATTTGGTGTTACCCTCTGTAATCTAACAAAATGAGCATAAAGCCTTGAGATAATAAGCTGAAATGCCAGAGGAATTTTGTTCTCGTGATGAACTTGTGTTTTTATATACTAGAGAGGGGATTTAAATCACTGAGAGGGCACATTGCGGCATACTGTACAGGCCATATTAATTTTGTGATATCTGATATGCTACAGCTGGAGGCTCTCGCCCAGTGTGGTGCCATGCACATAGGTAGCTGTGTATTCAATATCACCGTTTGAGTCTTTCAAGGCTCACTGAAATTCAGAATCGGAATAACATCCATGTATGTTGCAATCACACTGACATGAATTGCACAGCCTAGAGGGTCAGTTAATGGTGTTGACTTGCCTACAACTGTAGTCATTCAGTGATCAAGCAAATACAAAATTTTTAAAATAATTTTTTGCTATATTTAATGGAATTCGTTGCTAATCCCATACACATTTAAATTTTTTAAAATTTTGAGCATCAGAAATCTATGCTGACATTTAGGTGTTAACTTCTAAAGTATAGTTTACATGTATGTAAGTAAAACAAGGTGTCTTTTCTCCAAGCAAGATGCTTCTTGGAGGATGATTAAGGTGTGGGTTTGATTACCAGCTGCATTGATCCTCATGATCTCAGTGACTATATTTTGGATTTTTAGTGCACAAAGAGAAGTTAGGAATTAACGGCAACATCTCTCTCCTTGCTACAGGTGTTAGAAGATGAAGAGGAAGCTGCGCTGGAAAAGGAAGATCAAGAAAGGGAACAAGAGGTTAGTTACCAAATTAAAATCCCTTAAATCTACAGTATACAGTTTGTTGCATAATATTCTCTCACTATTTTCAAGGGTGTTTGGGGATGACTATGAAACAATAAATCCTGAAGTCTGTAAAGAATGTTGTGGGATAACCTGCAGCAGCAATAGACTACGTGTAGCCTTCCATCCAGCTCAGGTGGAGCAATGACCAACAACATTAAGTCACACATAAAAGCTGGCTGTGATGAACCATCTAGTTCTCACAATCCTTAGCTTATTAGAATGGATTTGAAACTAATAGCTTTTGGGGTTTATATATTTGTAAGCAGAATCCTTCTTTGCATGCAATGTATTTCTTTGAGAGGATTGGCTGGATCATGTGTACTAACGGCATCCATGATCAATTGTCCATCGATGCCTTCGATTGATACCCTCGATTGACCTCTTGATCAGCACTTGATCGACATCCTGATTGATACTCAGCTGACACTCGATCGACACTCGATCAACAGTCGGTCGATAGTTGGCCAAGTGTCGACCAGCTCATGCATTGTATGCCTTGATTGAAAATCAATGGACTATCGACCGAGATGTCAATGGAGTGTCGATTGAGTGTCAACCAAGGTGTTGACGGAGTGTCAATGGAGTTTCTACTGAGGGTATCGACACTCGACTGCGGATGTCTTTAGTACCCATGATCTAACATTCATGAGAAGCTACATTACCTTGATAAGTTTGTTGCCAGGGATAACTTGCTGACATGAACATGGGGGACAGGGTTGGGTGTCTCTGCAATCTATGACAGTATGTACAGTAATATTAAATACAGTTGAAGCACCCTCCCAGAGGTCAAGAATTATTCTTGTGCTCACTTAGTAACGTTAATAATTTTATACGCTGTATGCAACAGAAACAAGGAGAGCTACAATTAATAGTTGATTGCGTTAGGTGCTATATGTAGACCAGAAAAGACTACTTTCAAGGTTTAATTACCAATGCTTCAGTGATTCTCAAGAAAAAAGAGACGTGTGTCGAGAGAAACGACACATCTCATTTCTCTCGAGAGAAAAGTGATGCGTCTCATGAGAAACGAGAGGAGAGGTGGTAACTTACTTTTGAGCAGTACTGTAACTGTGTCAAAATTTATCCTTTCTCTTGAAGATTCGGGAGTTGTTAAACCGTGAGCTTGACGATGGTCTCCTTGACGATGACAATGCGTCTTTCTCATCACATGACCTCAGAAGCTCAGGATATAGCAGAGATACCCCATTCTCTGATGATTTCTCTGAACAAGCACCTCAAACCTTCTTTAATGGACAAGTTGCCAAGAAGATCGTACCATCTGAAAGAGGTGCATTTGAGAGACCTCTGATAACACAGCGTGCTTTTCCTGTCATTAACGGATCAGGGCAAAACCAAGATTTGGACAGGATAAATCAACCTTACAATTATGACACAAGACATCAATATGAGGGTCATTATGATAATCAAGGCTATTATAATTACAGAGGACAAGGAAGTCCATATAACGGGCTAGTTGATGGGTATGAACAAAGTTATGACCATCATCAAGGTGGTGTAAATGATTATCGCACATCACCTGATTACATGGATGAAGGAATTAATCACTATGGAGACTATAATCCGCCACAGACAATGCAAGGGCAACATCATTATCCTCCTTCTCAGTCTAATTATCCAGCTTCAAATTTGGATGAGGGCAACAATAGCTCTGGTAATCATGACTTCAATGAAGATTATATAGGTTATGATGAAGAAGGTTCTGAAGGGCAAAATATTTATGACAATGGTGCTCCGAGTGTTAATGAGCAGAACTATTATAGAATAGATACTCCTGGTAATTATAGAGTTCAATACCATGGACAGCACGAGTCTATTCCTCACGTCAGCGACAGGGGCTCTGAAAGACACACAAATGAAATTGCAAATGGTTTCTCAGAAGATGGTACACAAGACATTGTGCAGCTTCAGATATTATACAAGGCACGGGGAAGAAAGCTTGAAGAACTGACTCAGATGCTGAAGAACCAGGAAGAGGAGATGACAAAAGAGATCCGTGTCTTGAATCACCAGAATGCAATGATGAAAGGTACATGTATGCAAAAATTGAATTCTGAATTTAATTCTCCATAAAATAGGTTTTTAAGCCTCTTTACAGAGTTTGAGTTTGAGATAAGTAACTATACAGCGGTACATGTTGATCTAAGTATGGCCTCCTTTAGGGCACAATATGAGGATAAGTAGTAGTCGGTTAGTACATGTAAGTGAAGCATCCTCCTAAATACAGTAAAGCCCCAAAATAATGCATTCGCAAGAACTGCTTTTTGCATAGATCTGCAAACCAGGAACTTCTGACAGCAGTTTGTGAGATGCTTCCACTTGAATACTGCATGTCATAAGAACTTTACTGTCGAACTGAATTTTCAAACTGCAAGAACTTCCTTGTTGTAACATCAGGCAAAGAACGTGGTAAAAAAAGACCTGCAACAAGATTCAGCTCACTGCTTTGAAGCACAAGCACTTACATTTTGTTCCATTAAAAATATTACAGCAAAACAAATCTTGACTATGACCAGTTAAAATAAGAATACAGACTGTAGAATGTACTATGGTAATAAAATCTGCAATCTTCAATCATGGTATTTTTCAGATGAGCGTGATGGAATTTCAGCCAGTCTTGAGAACTCACAGAAAATGGTACAGGCATGTAATACAGAGTTAAATAACCTGAAAGGCCAACTTGCTGCTGCCTACCAACAGATCAATGCATTAAAGGAAAGCAAGGAAGAGGTAGAAAAATGGGGTCATGTGTAATAAAGGCATCGGCAGTCAAGTGTCAATCAATATCCTCAATTGATACCCTCAATCAACCCTCAATTGATACTCGATTGACATTCCTTCAACGCCTGGGTTTAAACTGAATCGACACTCCATTGACATCTCGGTCAACAGTCAGTCGAGAGTCAACTACTTTTCAACCAATTCATCAGTCTGTCAACACTTGGCAGACTATCAACCGACTGTTGAACAAGTGTCGATAAAGCGTCGACCGAGCGTTGATCGTGATGTTGATCTGTTCATCTAGAAGCAAATAAATGCCCCGGACATTGGAGCAAACTTACACCCTTAAGTCCAGTGTACTTGAGGAGGAGGGGTTGGTGGGACAAAACCCTTCTTCAGCTTGTTAGCTTTTTAGAGTGTTAAGAGTACACCTCATCTACAGAAAATTTGACAGTTATTGATATGTCTATTATTGAGTATGATCATAAAGAAGTACAGTGTATTAAGGTTCGGAAACTACAGTACTGACTTGACAGTTGTATTTGTCAGTTCATTAACAATTTCTCTTTTTCTTGTCACCTGTCCTGCAAAACAATATCTCAAAATTTACAAAGAAATAAGACCTTGATGAATACTGAGAGGTTATGCCTGCTACCCAAATCTTGTCATTGATTATTTTGAATACTTTCAGGTGGTCAGCAAACTTCACATAACTGAAACAACTATTGACAGTTTGAATCAGCAGTTGGCAGAGTTGAGTCGTTCAGAGTCACTGACAAGGGCCAAGGAACAGCATGAAAGTGTTGTGAATGCTATGAAGAAAAAACATGAAGAACAAGTTCTAACACTGAAACAAAAATTAGATGAAGCTGTTTTAACAAGGGACTCTAAGGTGCAATGGAAATATCATTAGTTTTGTTTGCAGGAAATTTCAGCCATTTATTCCTCTTAGTAAAATTAGGCACATGTAGTAGTTGGTTAAATATGTGTACACATCTGCAGTGCAACGTTGTTTTGTGACAAGCTGTAAGGAAACATTTTGCCTGTTGCTTGGCATGATCAGTATAGATCTACACTGTACAGTACAAAAGCCAGCAGAAATTAAGCAATTACAGACTGCAAAGAAAACAACAACAAAATTTTGGCCTTGCCCTTCAATCAGGCAAGCTCTAACTATGATGTACTGGCCCAAAATCATTCTCACTAGCCTCCAAAAGTTCATCTCTAATAGCACTTCAGTCTGTAATTTGAATTTTCCTTGAAACTTCTCTTGCCCATTTGGTATGTGCTGGACAGAATGCACAAGCCTTACTGCAAAATCCACTAGCTCGGGCTATTGAACAGGAGGACTTTCTTTGCACGCTGAATTGGAGTGTTCATATCTACAATTATTGACATCGAGAGGCAAAATTATAGGGTACCTGTACATCATCTAATATATTATATGTACATGTAGAATGTTTTACAAATTTTGTTTATTTCTTTGTTAGCATGAAGAGGCTAATCAGTTGAGAGATGAACTGGTCGAGAAAGCAGAAATGATAAATTCACTGACAAGGAGCCTGGATTCCAGTCAAAAGCAGTGTCAAGAAATTCTTAAGTCAGGTACAAGTTGTGTACACACACACACACATGTACAAAGACAATAACTAAATAATAACTAGATTTTTTTTTTTCAAGTTTTACACCTACATGACTGTTAAATTATTTTGCTTTTGAGTGCGTACATTTGTGTACAATGTTCTGATATCTTCCAAACAAAGTTGGAAAAATTCTAAGAAAGGGAGTTGGGGCTGTCTTAAATTCGTGAAAATCAATGTGAATACCTGCCATGTTGTAACATGGTCAGGTCATGGTCATGGTCAACATTTTTCATGTTGACCATGAAGATGGTCATAACGTTTCACAGGAAATGTTGACTCCATGGTAACCTGTTATGAACCACCTGACCTTAGAGTTTCTAAATTCTCTTATCTGCGAAGAATTTGCTGCAGTCATGCTTACATGCAAATGTTCTAAAGTTGTCAACATTGTTTACAAATGTGTAGGGACAATGTCAGAGATCAACCAGTTGAGGCTGGCTCTTCAAGAGAGTTCAACTGCCAGGAATGTTGCTGAGGGCCAATGCATTTCTTTAAAGGTAGGGATCTTTAACAAATTTTTCATCAGCATGGCAACGTTTATATGCCACTTACTAGTAGCATATAAAATTTGTTGTTGCCATGCTGATCTGGCATAAGCACATACTGATAAGCATGCTGACTGTGTTTTATGTTGGAATTTTTTTTCTTTAGCATGAACTGTCAGAGCTTCAAGAGCAGGTCAAGATGTATGAGAGTGCAAGCCGACTTGGTGTGGGATTAGGATCAAACATCCACAATGATTCTTTGCCACATCTCACTGTGAGAAATTTGAACAAAGAAAACTGGAGTACCCCAAAGTCCCAGTAAGTACTCAGTGCTAATGCTCCATTGTTAACGCTGTAGATTCTTTTACTATGTAATAAAATTACAGCGTGGTCAACGATCCCATTACAATAAAATCCCAATCACTGCCTAAGACACATGTACATGTACTTGCAGTTTTTTTGTTGGGATCTACTGAGAAGTTCTGTAAAGTGAGTGTGCTGTCTTTCTTTTTTCAGCAAAGCACCATTGGAAGAAACAATCGGTGAGTTGAGGCGAGAACTAGAGCAATGTTTGGTTAGTAACAAGGCCAAGCGAGAGCAAGTACACAAACTGGAGACAGAACTTGGCACTGTTAGGGATCAACTGAAAGATCAGGAAATAAAAGCACAGAGAATGGAAAGGATCGCACAGGAACATGAGGTAGAAATAAAGTACTGTCTTATGAATGTTTTTAATGAATTCATGACCATATTGCAAGCATTATATATTAGACCTTGTTAAGGGTGACTGTCCTCTTGCCTGATTGCTGATATGATCGTTTTTCTTTACATGACAATCTCACAAGGATAAATCACAAGAATTGGAAAAGAAAATTCAGGAGTTAGAGAGTAACAAGACAAACCCAGGTAGTGCATTGTGTAACTTATCTTTAGTTAATAGATCAACTTTCTTTTGTAATATTAAAGCTGACTTGGCTGAGCATGTTAATGATATTTCCTGTGTGCATGTACAATGTGCCTGTTTGGTAACAAAATTAGTTCTTATTTATTTGCTTTACTTTATAAACTGCACAATTTGAGTTCATGTTATTTGCATTTCAGATGAAGAATATCAAGAAACCTTGAAAGACTTGGAGGTAACAAGGAGAAATTTACAGGTACATGTACATTTTGTTCTGCACACAGCACAATGTAAAAGAAAATTCTTTTTCTTGAGATGATGATGGGTACACGTGTAATTATAAGCAGTTTTAAACTTGGATTTTTTTTTCATCTATCATTATTTTAGCCTTTCATCCCATCTAGTAAGGTGGTGTTTATGTGCTTAATATTTATCAGATAAATTTGTGGAATAAATTGAAATTGTGCACTTTCTGTATTTTATTCCATTGTTTACAAAGAGTGTGTGTTTTAACTTGCAGGAGACTGCTGCAAACCTGGAAGAAGCTATCCGGGAGAGAGAAGAGTTATCAGAGACGTGTGCTGACCTGAAAACACAGATGGCTCAGGTGCATGTAGAAGAATGAATGTTAAATACATTGTACAATTTTGGTATTCCATTTACACCGGCGTCAAAGCTTGCAGGCAGACATTGATATATATTTTTTTGACATTTCAGATGGTTGCAGAATTTGATGAAGATAAAAGGATCAGCATAGAAAAGTAATTATGCCTGAGGGAGGGGTCTTCCATGTGAAAGGGTCAGGTTGCTTGTCATCTCGCATGGTGATGTACATGTAAATTGCAGATTTTGGTATCATTTACTATAGATTGTTCTGAGTAGAAGCCATGTTTTAGCTGTCAGGGTATCATTTAGGGTTGTATGCTGAGGATATTCATAAAAAGAGGCCGTCATACTTTGCTGGTGGTCTAGACTGATCAGGCTTTAAATTTCTATGCCAAATTAAGGCTAAGCACTCTTAGATTGCTCTCCTTTTTGGTTCTCCTGTCCATTCCTGACCCATTCACACTGAAGTTCCCCAAGTAATTTAAAATATTACGTTAAAGTATGGCTTACATAATTATACTCAACAACAAACACATCTTTACCTTGGGATGGGAGTTGCATGGTTCTTTACGGCTTTCTCTTAGGCCTTCATGGTCAATATTGAGGCCTAGGAATTAGGCAAAGATGGGAAGGCTTCAGTATTACAAATGGCAGCACTAAAAAGCAGGAAGGGCTTGAGAAATTGTGCAGTTGTTTATGTATCTATTTCTTAGACTTAATGTACAGGTAAGTCGACGCACTTTAGTCGGAGCTCCCTTAACAAACATTCTTCTTTATCTAATGATCCTTTGAATGTACATTCTCCAGAAGCTCACTAAATAGTTATTGCTTATTACTTTTTTTCTCTAAGATGCAGAGAAGCTTGTCTACAGCTTCATGAAGATGCCAAGAACTTGTTAAGAGATCAGCTGAACCAGGAGCATGAGAAGATTGTCTGGGATTTAAAGTACGTCTGATAAATTGCTTATAGCTTTTATTGAATCACAAATTGTATTTGTACAGTTTCCCATTCTTAATGTCCTTTCAGAAAGAAATGTAATACATGTGGCTGTCAACATCAGGATATATTTAACTGAACTAAGCCACTTTGCTGGGGTGCAAAGACAATCAGTTTTCCAGCTTCCCCTTTGGACAAGCTGTAACTGTTCAATTTCACTACAGAAAAACTTTTCCCACTACCACTATTGATTAATGCAAATTTACCGTAATTAATAACGCTAATTTGATCTCTTAAAGTACCTCTGTAATTCTAATTTTCTCATACTGAATTTTACCCCGAAAGCTTCACTTCTTCGTTGAGCAAGTGAAGGACAGAATCCAGTGGCCCGGCTACAAATAGACTAGCCCCGGGCTATCGCTCATGACTTTCTTTGCACGCTGCTTGCCATGCCTTATCGTTTAGAGAACATTTGAATGTAAATTAAAGCGAATTGGTCACAGACGCTGGCCATGGTCGACCCCAACAAATGCAAAAAACGCAATGAAAAAATCCAAACAGGAAACAAAAAATTACACACCTGGGACTTTACAACAACTGCTGGAATATCGCCCTACCGATTGATTAAAATATCCGTGCTCTGTTACAGGAGGGATTTAGAAGAACATAGCGAAGAGTTGATCAGGATAAAGGAATGCTATGTTCAACTTGGAGAGGACAGCCGCGGATTGGAACAGAAGTTAAGAGAAGAATTTGAAAAGGAGAAGCAGATGTTATTATCTGAGGTAACAAGTACTGCATGGGAACCGGTTTTTTTTTATCCTAAGCGGATCGTTAAAAACATCTCTCAAGGCCGAGGCCCCATTAGGGGCGGGTTTATCCCGTATCCCATTAATGTCAGTTGCAAAAATTAACAATTTTGTTTTCTCGATAACCTGTTTTATATGATCCAAATCTCCCGTTAATTTCTTACTCAAATGTCCCGAATCCCGAAAACCCCTAATAGGGCCTCGATGTTGGCTCTAAGACTCTGATAGTATTGGTTACTGTTCCCTGGTTCCACAATGCAATTGTGTTCTAGCAATATGAGTTTATTTTCAAGCTGGCTGATTACGTAAATATGAAGAAAATCATCAGGTTTATGTGTGTAGGTTAAACCTCTGGTTGGGGTTGTTGTTTTGTTTTTGTGTGTGTGTGAGTGTGTGTTCTTGATCAAGACACTTAAAACTTTCATGGTGCATCTCTCCACCCGGAATAGTATGACCAACTGTTAGGAAGAGGCTAACCCTGGCGAAATGTTGCATTAGAGGGGGCGGGAGAGGCGAGAGGAAGTGAGCGGAAGTTGAATTGTGGTGGACTACACGGCAGCATCCCTCTGAGGGTCAGAGAGTAGTAATACACCTAGACGCCTTGTACTACACTAATCAAGTGTCTGTCTGAAGACAGAGCTGCGCTTGAAGACAGACAACTGTATTCTAATGTGGCTTTTTTAATTGGTCTTACTGCGGTGTTGTTTCAGAACGAAGCTAAGTTAATGGATGAGCTACAAGCTTCCCTTGAAAAGCAATATGTCGACCAGCTGGAGAAAGCACAAGAGCAGTGGAAAGAAGACGAGATCAGAAGAATTAATGACGAACTTCAGAAGCAAAAGGAACAGCTTCTAAAGGTGAGCATAATATTGCAGTTGCTTCTGTTTAGTATGAGACGGGTTTTGTAGTATTACAGAATGACTGGTGCAGTTTATTTAAACTCGCTTAAAACTGTGAAGAATTTTTGCGATGTTATTCGTGCAGCCTTGACCTTTAAATCGCTCTTTTGCGATGTGACAGAACCCAGTTGTTCAAAGAGTGGATAACGCTATCCACTGGAAAAATCACTCCCTAGTGCAAAAGTGATGGCAAAACAAACTACACTATCCACCGCCTGAATAGTGATTCATCCGCTGGATAGCATTGTCCATCCTTTAAAAGGAGAGGGGCAAGATATATAGACATGTATGTAAGTAGCTCTTGGAATCCGTCGGTCAAACGTATAACAAATGTCAAAGACTTTAGCAACAGCAACGACAGCCGCTATGGCACTCAATTTAATTTGCTTAGCGTTAACGTTACTATAACTGCAAATAACTGCAACAACAACAACAACAACCGCGGAAATCTTACTGATGTGCTTCACGCACGCTTTTCCTCTCGTTTCAGAATATTGAGGAAGAAAAGTGCAGAGCAGTGGAGGAAGCTGTGTCTAAAGCTCGTAAGGAATGGATCATCGAGAATTCCAAGGTAGACAATCAGTCTGACATTGAAGATCAGATAGCTGCTGCTAGGAGAGAATGGATAAAAAATCACAATGACGAATTAGAAAGACGCTTGTCCAACGCCATCCAAGAAGTGAGAAGAATCTGGGATGAAGAACAAAAACTAAAAACAAAGGAGGTAAGAAACAAGTGTGTCGCACTAACCCATGGACGTTGCCCCACAGCCATAGGTTTACCTTGGTGGCGTTGCGGTTCATTACCACGTTCTTGACTCGACGAAGACGCGTCTTCCAACTTTTCCACCTCAGTCGAGTTGCTGTACTCGATATTGATTGAATTTGTCATATATCAACTGCAGTCACGTTGTTTGTCTGGTTTACTGTGGAGCGACTTTTGTAAGAATGTAATACGTAGTTTCTTGTTATTCAAAAGAGAGAAGTAAAGGTTTGCAATCTTTATCACCAAAAATGCCTTTGCCAATGAAATGTTTAAAAAAGAAAAACTGCTGTCAGAAAACTCTTTACACTTGTTCCATTGCAAATAATGTTTTATCGGAGTAATGCTTAACTAACAAAATTGTTGATTTTGATCTCTCTTTGTTAATTTTGTCGTAATATTTTTCCTCAGGAGATAGACAAAGTTCGCGCCGAGCTTGAGATAGCTCACGGAGAATCACGTGACCAGCGACTCAACCAGGCAGTTGAACTGGCTCTGTCCCAGGCCCAAGCGGACTGGCTGAAGAACGAAGAGGAAATTAGACAACGAGAGATTGATCAAGCTGTTGAGGTAGCCATTACGAACGCAGTGGCGGAGGCTAAGGTAGAATGGGAGAAGGAAATCATGGCACAGGTAAGTTCTCTGAAACGCAGATCAAGGGCTGGTTTTGAAAAATGGTCAAATCGTTATCGAAAATTTTCCTTAAAAAAGTTAAAGAATTCGCGAGCACTCTCAGTAGGTCAGGAATGCTCACGAGTACTCACGAAAATTTTTGAGCACTCACGACAGCTTACGGGCGTGGTACAATTCTAAAAGCTTTAGAGAAAGGTTTTAAGAAACTAGCAAGTTATATACATAGTTTAGAAATCAATTTACTACATTAGTTTAATCAGTCCAAAAATTTCTTTATTTATTTTTTCGTCGTTTTCTTGATTTTCTATCGGACATAAAAAGAAAAGGAGTCACACGTATTTATGACAAAGTTTTTGTTTCTTATCCGATATTTTAAAGGACAACCTACTGCAGACTTCGCTCGCTCAAGAGAGGGCTCGTTGGAAGAAAGAAGAAGAATCGGTGCGAAGCAAAGCGGTAGAAGCTGCTGTAGCTATTGCTGAAGTGAAGTGGTTAGAAGAGGAACAGAAGAAAATCTCTGAAGCGGTAGAAGAAGCCATGCAGACAGCGAGAGAAACATGGCAAGAGGAGAAGAAACGGGAAATAGGTATTAAGAGTTTGTACAAGCATTTCTTATGAACAACTTTGTTTTAAAATTAATTTTAAGTCAGAACTTGTTCTTGTTCTTGTGCTTGTGCTTGTGCTTGTGCTTGTGCTTGTGCTTGTGCTTGTGCTTGTGCTTGTGCTTGTGCTTGTGCTTGTGCTTGGGCTTGTGCTTGTGCTTGTGCTTGTGTTTGCGCTTGTGCTTGTGCTTGTGCTTGCGCTTGTGCTTGTGCTTGTGCTTG